GATAAAACATGAGAAATTTCAAAGCAAGGGCAAAAATGGAAGGAAAATTTTGTTTTTTTTAATTAAAAAAGAGTAAAATGAAGTAAGGAAAAAAAATTTGTTTCAGTTACTTAAAACTAGGGGATGATTTTAACTTTTGAACATACCTTGATTATAATAAAAGTTTATGGCTGGTAGTACATTAACACCCACAGCGGTCAACCTAACACACTAAAAGTTAAGTTAATCGCAGTTCTTAAAAATTGATTCAAAGCACTAAATTGAGTAAGCATCTAAAAGTACTGGAACAGGAGTTTCTAAATAAACTTGTATTTTTATTTCTAATCAACACTGATGGACAGAAAGTTATTCGATCCCCTAAACATCAAAATTTAAAATAAAGAATGACAAAGAAACAAACAAACATAAGTTGGAAGGCCCAAGTATCTAAAAATTGGTGTCATTCGGTGTAATCTATGCCACATAATTATTTGTGAGACTTCATTGCAGGTACCAGTACATTGTATATTTATAAAATTTACAAATGAAAGTCTAATGACCCTCTTCCAGTTAATAAGCACTGCAAATAGGAAATATTGTTTCACTTGGCAACTTCATTGCACTTTCATAGTCCTGTAATGTTCAATTTGGTGCACCCATTGACAACTTTAGTTTACTCAGTACAGCACTGAATGTAGACATAAATTTTATAGAATGAGTGAAATATTACTTGAGCTAATTAAAACTTGCAGATTATAAAAAAAATTCTTAATAACTACAGGACATATTCATTTTTCACGGACCCTTTATCTCCCACATTGCTGTTGCAGTGTAAAAAGTCCTTACAGTGATTGAACTGATTGTAGGACAGTGCAGTAGGAAATTGGGTTAAAAGTAACTTGGTGTTATGTAGACAACGTGTTTACGTCATCTTTCCCCATGAATGAACTTTAGCTGACCCCAAGCTCGGAACCACATTTAGGGTGTGGCTAAGTAAAAATTTTCCCCCTTGACCTTGTCTACAACTAAATAAAATCTATAGCCTGTATTATTAGAATTCTGTAGAAAAAATTGAGACCAATCAGGAAAGGAATACAATATGTAAGCCCGTTCGTGAAATTTCACTGAAACAAGCTAGATATATATACGCCTAGAGAGATATTTTGCGATGACTATGACAGCAGGAATATTTGCTATTCACATTACAAGACGAAGATTTGTATATTTTTTAATTAATCTCTGTGTGTGTGTGCACCTTCTTTTTCAACATTTTACCTTTTACAACATTGTTTCTTCTTCAACATTGTACCGGTACAAGCCATCATTTTACTGTAAGTCAGTAGCTTTAGCTTTTTAATTTCTTTTAATTTTGTAATTTAAAATTATTAAATTGTAATTAGCACTAATTTGGGTTTCATTTCTTTATTATTGCATTTGGTTTGTTGTATCGTCTTTTGTTGCATTGTTATAGGATTATTATTTTTATTAGGTTGCCAGGGCGCATGTTCCCAGAATGAGTTTAACTTGTGACCTGAGCTGAGGTACTAGAACTACTGTATAATTAGCTTTACTATGAATGATTTTTAGGATTTTTATTATATTTTAACTCTTTCACTGCGGAACAACGCACACTGCGTTCATCTGCCGTTCTCAAAAGCACGGACCAACACGCTCTGGGTTGTTTCAATATCATATTTGTTTCTTTCATATTTCCTCGGTTCAAGTTTTTAAGAGCTATTTTTAAATAAGACTTTAACATAGAAGAGTGGTACTTCATTTGTTACATGCAAAACCAAGGTTTATTTGTTGTCATTTGAAACATTATTTTAATGATTTTCTTCACTATTTTTTTCTATTGTTCATATGGCTACCCTAGGCCCTAGTAGGTGAATAAGTTTCCTAAACGATTAACAGCTCAAAAAGCCTTGGAATTGTTTTATACTATTTCCTTTGATAGTGAAGATGATTTATATTTTGATCCATTGCATGATTCCGATAGTAGTAGTTTTAGAGGATTTGAGTTAGGGCTAGGGCCTATAAGATGAGGTGAGGTATGCATACATCATGTCATAGGGTTTGGGAAAAAATGGTTTCGAATAAAATGTTTTCACATTTTAAGGTTCTTTTCTGTAACTTATTTTATTTAAACTGAATAAATAAGTTTACAAACATATAGTCCTTTCAATTATCTTTCATTTGATACCAAGTTTAGTCTTATAAACCAAAGAATAATATTTTAAAAACACAACCTCTCACTCCTTTTAGATCTTTGAAAAAAATGTACATTTTCTCGATTAAAAAATTCTGCAGCGAAAGAGTTAAAAATCTGTGGCAATTTGTGGACTAAACCTAGTGATTTTTCCTAGGCATAAAATAGGGATAGTACACAAAACTTAATTAAAATGCAAATTAAATAATAAAAGGAAACTTTAAAACTTAATAAAACTCATATTTTTGGGTGTATGACTGTGATGACTGTATGTCATGAGTATGACATGGACAATTATGGGCCAAAGATAAAAGAAGTAAACTTAAACTTGGTTATGATTTATTTATTTTAGTTTTAAATCCACCTTTAAAACTTTAAACTTAATGAAACTCATATTTTTGGGTGTATGACTGTGACGACTGTTACACTGTATGATTTATGTCATGAGTATGACATGGACAATTATGGGCCAAAGATAAAAGAAGTAAACTTAAACTTGGTTAATGATTTATTTATTTTAGTTTTAAATCCACCTGTGTTCCTTTTCCAGAACCTGGCGGTCCTAAAAGAATGGCATGAACACCTTCGGGCTCATCATAAGCTGTGAACTATGCCGAATAAAAAACCAGATCATTACGTTTACGAAAAACAATTTAATTTAACCTAATAAGCTTCTGTGATGTTGGGATTTGGAAATTTTTATCTAAGGACAATTCTTTACTTTTTGGCTGGACATTTTGATAATTTTATTAATGAACCGAAATTTTTTCCGAAGCTGCATTTAACTATTTTATTTGAATTTGATGAAATTTTATTTTAATGTTACTAGTCAGCAATCAGAGGACGGGTAGAAATTAAAATTATACCGTAAATTTGAATTAAATAATTAATTGCAATATATTTTGAAATTTTGTTTCAAGACAATATACAAAGAATTAGAAATTTATCAGAAAGGATAATATATTGGGGGGGGGGGCGCTTTAAAGTCACGTGAAGTAAATAAATAGTGGAACAAGATATGTTTCGGCTTGAAAAAAAAATTACAGAACAATTAAAGAGACGTTTCGGCTAAACGCCCTTTTCGGCAGACAATACACAAAACAAGAAATAACAAATAATTTGAAATTAAGAAATAAAGTGTTCCCAGATCACAGTGTAGTTCTCTCAGTCAATGTGTAGAAACAAGGGCGCACTATTCACTATAAAACCTAAACCGGAAGTAAAGTTGTTCAAAACCAAAACGCGCCTATCAATATCAGTAAATCTGTGGTTGCCACCAGAACACGGTGTCTCCAGACAGAGCAGGGTGCTACGCGAGAAGGGTGCCACTTACACGGTGCTTCCAGAGCAGGGTGCAACCTACAAAGTGTCACCAGAGCAGTTCGACACCAACAGGATGCCATCAGAGCATGGTTGGGACTCACTCCGAAACCTCTCATTAAGACTACGATTCCTTAATACGATCTTTGTGTCTGTGGCTTCAAGTTGGAGGAACTTTTTAAAACTGAAACTTATAGAGAACGTTTTTGCGGTTTACCGTTGAACAATCTCGAATGTTATTATTGATGACGTGATTGAGAGGTGCGCATCTTTGAAGGCCAGGAAAGTTTACGTCTTGTTTGCAAAGTTTAATGTTTTCAATAAAAGTAAATTTTTGTTGACCTTTTAAAACGCTGTTACCTCAAGTTCTATATGTTCTTCTATTTTTTTTTTTTTTTGGTTACTTAAGGACGTAATTTGCAGACACTGCTATAGGCGGTTCTTTACGCCCTGGTCAAGAGTTAATCAGCGCAGGGCTGGGGGTGACTGAGTTCGGAGAAAGGTTGACACCAGGAGTTTACCGCACCGGTTGACAAAACAACCCTAGTGACGTCTCCGCGGGTGAGGGCGATATATATGGCGGGATTTGAGATTTTGATGAGTATAATATTAAAACTTGATATCAATGAAGTGAGTTATGAGGCTTTGAATGAAAGCAATTTTTTTTTTTTTTTTAAATCAAACATTTCATTTTTTTAAATTTTTTTTTAAAGAGGAAAACTAGTTAACTGTAATGTTAACTTTGCACAATTCTTTTGCTGCCCTCTCGGATACTACATTTCAGCGAAGATATTTTTTATTTTTAATTCTGTTTTTACTGTTGTTTGTTTGCTAATGAAAGCTTCTTGTCGACACGTTCGTTGTTTTGTTGCTCCTTTTTTTTTCATGTTTTCCCTTATTGTGTGTCAGTCCTTTTCTTTTTTAAATTTAATGTTTTAGTTGTATTGTAACTACTTTCTCAAGTAAATATGTGAAATTTCTTTGTTGAGCATGTTTTTGTGAGAATGTGTGCATGGGTGAGTGGGTGGGGGGGGGGATACATTTAAATCAGAAGAAGACTTTAATACTCAATTATTTTTTATGACAAATTCAAATACTGAAAAACTATTTTTTTAATAATCATTTTCGCAGCATTTATATTATAAAAATTCAAATTCAATCTTAGCTTACAGCAGCTCTAAGAGATTTAGATCCAGCAAGTATGTCCAAAAAAAAAAGAATAAAGGTCGTAGGGTCCAGCCAGTGGAGTAGCCATGGTTAGTGCGGAGCCGGTTTCGTAAAAGATAAAAGTTGATTAAAATAGAAGCTTCAACTTTAACAAGAGTAATGTGCCACCAGAGCAGGGTGTCACCACTGTAGGTTGCTACCATGGGATGGTGTCTCAAGAGAAGACAGACTCGGAAAAGGCCCAACGTGCTGCATTTGGGGAGTCTGGCTGGGGAGGGTAGTGACACATAGATCTACCGCTTCTTGTGCCACCAACCCAAGTTATGCCATTGGCTTGATGTCATATGCGGTTTTTAATTTATCCAATAATGTCTCTATCTATTTATTTATTTATATCATTTTTAATATGCTAAAACGAATAACGACAGGATATTTCAGAATGAAGAAAAAAATATTTTTTTTTTATTTATTCATCTTCATGTGTCCTCAAAATAACCCAGTTCAGATCTGTTAGCAAATCAACCAATGATGACGTCAGTGCCCGGGTTCACGCTCACAGTTTTAATCTCATCGAATTCGACGTCAGACCTGAAAGCGAAAGAAGCACTGGGATTTCCGGGAATCCCTTGAGAAAAAGCAGTCTGAAAAACAAAAAAGTGTGGGTATGGGGGGGGGGGGGGCTATGCATGGATAAAGGTTAAGAGTACCTAAAGGGCATTACTCACAGAAAATGGCACCAGCTTAGCTGGAAAAATAAATGTGCCTACCAAGGTGATGGGGAAAATGTTATCTTTCTCTCGGGAAACTGAACTTAAAAAGGGCAAAATATCTACCGTTGATTTCTCCATTTTCTGTTAGTTATTCCAGAGGTTGAAGGTCTTGAGTTAAAGAATGTGTATAACCAACTGAGACCATGGAATCACTTGTACTATAACGCTCAAAAGTCCCAAAGAACCCATGAAGTTTAAGAAGATAATACATTTATTATTACGATACTCAACTATAGTTCAGAGCAACCGCTTATTCACCAAATGTCTCTAAAACTAGTTTGACAAAATTTTAATTCAAACTTTTTAAAAATGTTGCATCTGCTTGTGAAAATTATTATTTTTAATTAATTTATTTTTAAAATTCGAATTATCAGAAACAAAATCACCAAATGTCTCTAAAACTAGTTTGACAAAATTTTAATTCAAACTTTTTAAAAATGTTGCATCTGCTTGTGAAAATTATTATTTTTAATTAATTTATTTTTAAAATTCGAATTATCAGAAACAAAACTTATAATTTATAATGTTCTTTAGTTATATAAGGATTTCCCCAAAATATTTGTTATGTTTATACAAAGTGCTCTTATACGATTTAAGAACCACTTATACCACTTATTTAGACTCCCAGTGTTACTTGATATTTTTTTTTCCCGGCTAACCTTGCGTATGTTGCATCATCAGCCCAAAATCTTGTTTTCCAGTCTGGCATATCCTCCGCCGGCTTGTTGATGTAAGAGCCGTAACCGAACGTGTATAGTTTATGGGCCCCTTTTAAAGCCGAATCGATACCTGCCTCGTCGGCAGCTCCTGATGCTAGGGGCCATTCTTTGCCGCAAGAATTAGCCATAATGCCGGACCTAAGTCCCGGATGTACTGGGGTGCTGCCCACAGGAGAGGAAATCATATTACCTGTTGCATAAAGAATATTTTTTTAAAATTTATATCATTGTCATAATTATTTCTTGAATGGGCCATTCCTACATGACTTTACGTTATTTAAGCCGATTTCGGGACCCTCTCCCGCTAGCGTTTCAAAATTGTTACAAAATTTACACACCATGCGTGTCATCAATTATGGTTGACACCAGTGTTTAATGGGCCATTCCTACATGACTTTACGTTATTTAAGCCGATTTCGGGACCCTCTCCCGCTAGCGTTTCAAAATTGTTACAAAATTTACACACCATGCGTGTCATCAATTATGGTTGACACCAGTGTTTCTTTCAGAAATTTTCCCCGGGGGGGGGGGATTACTTCAGATTTTGGGGGGGTGGCACTTCAGATTTTTTCGGGGGGGGGGCAGTGCCAGGAGTTCCAGTTGATTTATTGTTGGACATATTTTTTCTCTGTGGGGGCACTTGGCTTTCCCCAGGGGGGGGGGGCACAGTGCCCCCCTTCCCCGGAGATATAGCTGAAAGAAACCCTGGATGACACCCCCATCCCGCCCCGTGCAACCCAACCCACCGCACCCCCAAATTGTAAAAACTTGAAATGGGTAAAGTGTGGATTAAAAATTGAAATAATTGTAATAGCCTGATTTTTTTAAAAAATAACGATAAAAACATTTTAAAAATTGCTCTCTTTTTTGGTTAAAATATTGAATGTTAAGGCTTGCGTTGGTATTTTGGTATTTTGTTCCCGTGACTTTCCAAAAAAATAATTATGATGCTATTTATGTGATAGCTTTCCGAAGGTATCGCTTGAGCTACTTTGGTGAGACAGGTAGTGTACTGCATGATAGATTCAGCGAACATCTTTTTAAAACAATTTTTTTTCTTTTCTTTAAAAGGGATGATAATACTATGACTTTGTTTGCTGACGAATTATTTGAATCGTGCCCATTGTTACCACTTCCGGGTACTGACCTCCAATCAAAGTGGCCATACACCCGATGCCATCTTGAATGATGTCATGCAAGGTGTCCACGTAACTGGTCAAGGTGGTCGAGTTTGTGATGGTAGACTTTTGGATGAGGCTGTTGAAAATGTATTGAATGTAGAACTCTTTGTCATTAGCATGAACCTGGGAACAAAAAAAAAAGAGATATTCAGAGTATTGAAGAGGTGTTCATATGAAGTGCCGAAATACAATATTAGGATCGTTAAAGACGAAATAATTTAACCCCTAAAAAGATTTTTTTCGTTTAAATTCTTGGTATGAATTTTTTGTTATTTTATAATTATTAATATTATAACGGCCCACCCACTTTTTAACTGCATATTTATTTCACAAACCATTGTAGAAAAAAAAAATTATTACGCACCAAACGCACTTGTGATATTTTTAAAAAATAATCTTATTTAGCGCAGTTATCGGGAATTTTATTTTGTGAAGTCGTTGGCCATATATTTTCTTCACCTTCTCCTTGAAAAAAAGGAAAAATTGGTTTTTAAGGGATGAAAATTTGATAGAAATATGTTGTCATTGGCAAAGAGTGCACCTGCAAAGTTTGGGTTTGATAGGGCCAATGGAAGTGAGCCAAGTAGACGTCTTAAATTTGTGCCAGTCACAAACAAAAGCAAAGTTAATTTAAAGGATTTACTTAACTAATTATAAAAAGTGTTGGACTGAAATAAAGCTTTCAAATAGATTCAATAGACACCAACAATTTGTGTCACTCTAACAATATAAGGTAAGCTTTAATAATGTAAAGTAGAGGAAAGCATCAATAAAATTAAACTCCATAGATAGGCCCTATATCAGAAGGAAAGAAATATCGAAGAATACATATTCGAGACATTAGTAATTCATGTATGTTTACAGTGTGGCTACTTATACTGACAGGTTGGCCACTAATGCTGACGGTGCGGATATGATGCTGACAGTGTGGCTACTTATACTGACAGGTTGGCCACTAATGCTGACGGTGCGGATATGATACTGACTGTGCTATTGAAATGTTACATTAAGAAATGGCGTCAGCGGGGCGAGTCTAGACTCTTATGCCCCCCCCCAATTACCCCTCCCCGGTCCGACGTATCGGGCCGCGGAGCGGCACGTTGGTGATGCCCACTCGTCAGGACGGCCCCCACACGGGCCCCTGTGCTATTAAAGAAGACCGTCATTACAGTGTTGAAGCTACTTGCTACTTGCTCTTACCTCGTAGTCCAGGAAGGTTGGATAAAAATGGTCTTCTTTATATATGACGCTCGGGTGGTTCAGCAGCCGGTCAATCTAGAGGTCAAAGAAACAGCATCTGTCATGGGCGGACCAGTCAAATATTTGTGGAACCATCCGTAAAAATGTATTACATGGTCTTAATCATTTTATTGTGTTCATATTTACGTTGACAAGACGGCTCACGTCATCTTCCCTAGTGCCTCTTTAGCTGGTATTTAAAATATTGCGAGCAAGAAAAGGGAGATTTTTTTTTTAAATTTTAAAATCGATCATATGATAGGGAGAAAAAGTTTTAATCAAATTAAAATAAATTACTACAATCATTTTAAATATGATTAAAGGAAAGGGTATGTAGGTTTTTAAAATAAATAAAAAAATATTAGAAACCTTTTTTAATCCTTTTGTGGCGTTTAAAGTTTGGGCACACACACCCATCACACATAAAACTCACCTCACTGCTTGAAGAAGACGTGTTCGCCCCAAAATGATTTAGGAACACCGAGAAGATTCCAGTAAAAGGGGAGTTTTCCAACGGATCGTTTCCTATGTGAACATAGCCACCCCAGTTGGGGGAGAGGTCGTTCACGACGATGAGGGCGTCCTTCACGGCTTTCTTGTTTATGGCCTGACCTGAAATGACGGCAATTTGGTGCAAGACTGAATCATAATGACACAAATTGTGTGCAAGACTGAATCATTATGACACAAATTGTGTGAAAGACTGAATCATAATGACAATAGTTTGGTGCAATATACAAATTATTAAAATTGCTGACAGCAAATCATAAAGAGCAAACGGCGAATAAATTCAAATTCAATTTAGCCAAACCTAAACATAAACCTAAACTTAAACATAAACCCAAACATAAAGGTAAATCTACACCTAAACATAACCCTAAACCTACACCTAAACATAACCCTAAACCTACACCTAAACATAACCCTAAACCTACACCTAAACATAACCCTAAACCTACACCTAAACATAACACTAAACCTACATCCTAAACCTACACCTAAACATAACCCTAAACCTACACCTAAACATAACCCTAAACCTACACCTAAACATAACCCTAAACCTACACCTAAACATAACCCTAAACCTACACCTAAACATAACCCTAAACATACACCTAAACATAACCCTAAACATACACCTAAACATAACCCTAAACATACACCTAAACATAAACCTAAACCTACACCTAAACATAACCCTAAACCTACACCTACACATAACCCTAAACCTACACCTAAACATAACCCTAAACCTACACCTAAACATAACCCTAAACCTACACCTAAACATAACCCTAAACCTACACCTAAAGATAACCCTAAACCTACACCTAAACATAACCCTAAACATAACCCTAAACCTATACCTAAACATAATCCTAAACCTACACTAAACATAAACCTAAACATAAACCTAAACCTGAACCAAGCTTTTTTTTCTACCAGGGTTCCTCAAACTTTCATTTTCCCCAGCGATAATCGCCCAGCCTGTGTGTGAGTTCAATGGAAAAATTGTCACCCGGTTCTTCAGACTTAAGCTTCTTGCACGTTTAGCTTTGTTTTAAATTTCTGGTCTTGAGGACTTCTCGTGGGTATGACATGAAACTTTAATTTTTAAATTACTAATCGATGGTCAGTCTAGCATTCAGCACCAGACATAGCTTTGGTTACTTTAACATCTTCTATGTCATTTTGATCTATTGATGTTAGCACAAGAAACAATGACAGTAATTATCAAATCGCTTGTACCTTGTGGTAATCTTACGGAACCATTTAGAAATAGGACACTGTTGATCATGCGCAGTATTTCGAAGGTGTTCAATCAATCTGTCTGAAAGGCGCCGACTCGTCACGCCCAGATAACCCACACGGCAGTGGGTACGAATGTTTAGCCCCGTAATATTCCGCCAAGCAGGTATTTTAACGTTAGAATTCAATTATCAAACTGATATGTGTGTATATAGATATGCACTCTAAGTGAAGAGAAAGATTGCTTAGACAATAACTGATATTAAAAAAAAAAATTAAATGTTCTACGAACTGGCCATCTCTGACGATTATTGTGCAGTGTGCGCCCGCCTCTGTCGGCATGCTTACCGTTGCGCCTCTGTCGGCATGCTTACCGTTGCGCCTCTGTCGGCATGCTTACCGTTGCGGTCAAAAAGTGGGATGACAGCCAGGACGTTCCGGAACCTCTCGGGGGGGTAGTGCAACCTGAAGGTGAAGTCGACCACCACGCCCCAAGTGCCACCGCCACCCCCTCTCAGGGCCCAGAAGATGTCGACGTCGCTGGAGTAGTGCAGGGAGCCATCGAAGTCACGTGTCACCGTCATAGAAGAATTGACAGTGTGAACTTTTCCCTTGGGGGAGGGAGACAAAAATCACACGTTTAGTCATCTCCATTAGCCCGGCAAAGAACTTTGCACACATGCAATATTTTGATCAAGTGTTTCCTTTATTGACATAAGTCTAGGATAAACCATTGTATGACGTCATTTTTATTGTCCTTAACATAGCTCCGCCCGCACACGTAGTCAGGATTACACTGGCTTCAGTGTATGCGTGGCTCTTAATCAGAGGCACCTGTGGGTGCAGGAATTATGTTTTCAAATCAAGAGGGGGCTCAGAGCTGCAAAAAGGTTAAGACTCCCTAAAATATAGGCCATGGGTTTACATTTAAAAGGACCATTTTATATTGAAAATTGTTTAGATACTTTTAGACAGCTCAGTATTAACCTTGCGGAGCCATTCTGACGTGATTTGCACATCTTCGGGTGCTCACATCCACAATCCATATATCTATACTTCCACGCATCCCAACATCCACATTTCCATATATCCACTTATCAAAATATCCACATATAAAAAAATCCACATACCCACACACACACATATTCAAACATCCACATATCCACATACACCCGTATCCGTAAATTTGATCGAAAGAAATTTCGTCGACGGTAAATTGATCGACGGTAATTTGATCGAACGGAATATTGGTCGAATCTATTTTCAGTTTTTACGTTAAAATTTTGCTTCAAATTTAGAATCATGACAAAAAATAACAAATAGCTGGTTTAATAATAATTTAAAAATTGTTCTCAATAAAGCACACGATAGACGGTGCAGATAAAAGGGACAGTTGGGTGTGTGGATTTGATGATGTGAGGATGTAAGGATATGTGGATGTGGTGATGTGTGTGTTTTAGAATGTGAGGATACGTGGATGTTAAATTGTGAGGATGTAAGGATGCCTGGATGCGAGGATGTTAGGATGCGTGCATGTGAGGTTGTGTTGATGTGAGCATGTTTGAACATGAGGATGTAGATGTGATGATGCGTGGGTGTGTGGATGTTATAATGTGTGGATGTTTGCATGTGTGGATGTGAGGATGTGAGATTTTTAGGTTGTGAGGACGTGTGGATTTTAAGATGTATGGGTGTTCACATATGTGGATGTGATTATATGCGGATGTGAGATTGTGAGGATGTTTGGATGTGAGGATGTGAATTTTTGAGGATGTAAGGATAAGTAAATGTGAGGGTGTGTGAATATAAGGATGTGTGGGTGCGTGCCTCGTATCGTAGCTATAGTTACACACGTCAGCTGTGACAACGGTGGCCTCCAGGAGATTATCAACCGCGAGTCCAAACATCCGTCCGATCGGACTGTGGCCTCCCCCTTGAGTGTATCCGCCCATGGCCACGGTGTGTGCACTTCCTCCGACCACGACACGACCTGTGGTCTTCGTGCCCGCCTCGTCTGGTCCTCGTACCTTATCGACCTGTGGGTGAACATGCACAGAATGTTACTGGTGCTTTGAAAACTTATTTTCAACAAATTTTCTTTTACTTTATAGCATAGTGCGTTCAAAACGAAATTTGATGGGAATTGAAAATTTTAACGTGTGAATAGAAAAAAAAAAGATTCGACCAAATTTACGTTTCATTAAATTTCCGTCGAACAATTTACCGTCGACGAAACTTCTTTCGATCAAATTTTCCGGTGACCTTTAACAAGACTATACTTAAATATACAGATCATAAAATATATCGAGCGCAGCGATATTTCATATATTCAACTAAGGGTAATCGGCTAAAGGCACCAAATATTAATATTTTAAAATCTGTTTAAAAAAGAAAATTATTTGTTTTTAGCTGTTGTTTTTTTTTAAAAATATAATCTTTATAGTGTTGTACACATTTTTCTCCGGGTTTGGGGGTGGGGGGGGGGTTACACGAATCTTGATTTGAAACGCGTGAGAACATTGTACTAGAGCAACTGAGCTTAGTGATTCGGCGCAGTTGACTAGATTTTACAGGTCTTGGCACGTAACGAAAATTTGTGACAATCTGTGAATTAAAAATCGAGAGAAAATTTGTATTCCCAAAAGTGTGTACTCGCGATTTCGCGAGATGGCAAAAAATTTCCCGGAGAGTATTTTGTTTACTAAAAATCGTACGGGATCCCCTAGAGAGAGATCACAATTCAGACCTATACGTTTCGTACATATCTTATTGAATACATGAGTAAAACGGATTGGATTTCAATAATTTCGAGAGAAAAAGTTGGCACAGTCAAGCTTATTTACTATTTTAAAGAAGAAGAAAAAACACGATTCCGCAATTTTAAAATGCCACAGAATGAATCTGCATGATTTATGCATTTCTTATTCTTATTGCCTTCAAATTGCTAACTATTTAAATTATATAAACATACCAAAATAATGTAATAAAAAATAGCTAGTGGACAGCAAAACGTTAATTCATCTGAAAAAATCACTTTAAAAATAAGAGTGATAATGCTGTATAGTTAAAATATTTCCTTCGTGATATTTAAAACAGTAATATAATTTGAGAACCGTCTTTGTACATTATGTTATATATGTACAAGTACTCTGGCTTCTACCTCACATTTCACTCACTTCCGTGTAAACGGTGAGCCAGGACGCGCCGGTCTGAACTTTGACCTCGCCGGCCTTGTTGCGGGCCGAATCCAGTTTCACCGTCACCATGTTCATGGACGTCATCAGCAGTTTGAGGCTGCCGTCGTGGTTGCTGCGCCCGATGTAGTCGTGCCCGGAGGAAAGGACGGTCAGGTGCAGGTTGTGCCTGCGGGCGTAGAGGACCGCCCTCTGGACGTCTTCCACGGTCTTGGGGAGTATGATGAACCCGGGGAGTTTTGTGGTCCGTAGGTTGTGGCTGTAGGAGGCATTCACTGATGCGGAGACGAATTAAAATTGGGGGGATTGGCTCACCAGACATTTGTCAGATGACATTTTGCTTTGTCTTAGTGTAGTGGTTCTCAAGCTTTCTAATGCCGCGACCCTTTAATACAGTTCTTCATGTTGTGGTGATCCCACCAACCGTAAAATTATTTTCATTGCTACTTCATAAATATTTGTTTTCTGGTGGTCTTAGGCGACCCCAGTGTAAGGGTCATTAATGCCGCGACCCTTTAATACAGTTCTTCATGTTGTGGTGATCCCACCAACCGTAAAATTATTTTCATTGCTACTTCATAAATATTTGTTTTCTGGTGGTCTTAGGCGACCCCAGTGTAAGGGTCATACGACCCACAGGTTGAGAACCACCGTCTTAAGACATGGACATGCTCTACGAGCTTTATACACCAAAAGACCAAACAAAAGATACAAAAGGGCTATTTTTTATTAGTTGAATTTATTATACAAACACCAAATGAATTTAATTTTAATTCTTCCTTATTTGTTTAGTAATTGAACCTTCTTCTGCTCCTATATTTTGAGGACTCATGATCAATGTATTGATCATTCTGTGACAGTGGATTTAGGACATCGAAGCAATTGGGGGGGGGGGGGGGGTGGGGGAGTGTTGGTACTGGGGTGATACGCTAAAATATGAAGACACTAAATAGCTGAGCAGGCCGTGTAGTCAGACAGACATCCACAAGGAAGAGACAAATGTTGACTTACAATTATCGAAGTCGTACCCTCGGATCCAACTTGCCGCGAGACGTTTAAACAAAACAAAAAAATGTCTCGTGTTCCATATCGGAGCAAAATCAAAATTAAAAAAAAAATATTTAGTAAAATATAGTTGCAAAACTAATAGGCGATTTAGGATATCGATACTTTTCAAATTGAACTGTGTGCATCCGTGTCATTAATGAAACCCATATATGTGTAGCTGTTTACAACTTTTTAAAACAACTTTACGTTAACTATTTTTAAAAAAAATCATACTTATAATTTTAGGGAAACCATTTATTTTCATACACTTTTCATCCTGTTCACAACGTACATCAAATGCACTCTTAACAATATTTGCTGCGCAATTTAGCGTCAAATTGATCAGCTGCGTTCATGCGGCCCCCCCCCCCCCCCCCAAAAAAAAAATAACTTACAGTATCTTGGATCAAAGGGGGACATCAGCTCGCCGTCCAGCTGTTTGCCGATATAGTAAAAGTCCTGGTGGTCAGGAAAGGCCAGGTGGCCGGGGTACACCCTCGATGGCCACGTTTGATTCTGGCGCAGTGACGCGGCCAAGGTCGTGACGTAGCACTGCATCACTAACCAACAGACGGCAAGGGGCAACATCTTTCTAAATGACGCCGAATCGATATGTCAATGACCTTAAATGAAATTAAGTCAGATAATTGAATCGATAAAAGTATCATGTCTCAAAACTCTTCAACATTTTAAAAAAGTGCAGTAGAAAAAGTATAGATTATTTTAAGGAGTAGAGCAACATAAAAAAAAAAAAAAAAAAAAAAAAAAAAAAAAAAAGTAAAATTTCATATCACTTTAAAAAGGGATGTAACTAACATAATAATTTTGATTGTAAAGTTATTTCCCTGGATCACTGGTACACTTTGCCATTTAAATTTTTTTTAAAAAAGGTAAATTAATTAAACCATAAATATTCTTGTAAAGTAAAATCGGCTCTAACTTGCGTCTTTATTCCCAGCCTTAAATTACGATACATCCGTGTGCACAAGATTCTGTCCAACTTACTTGAAATGTTCCAATCAGTTGAGTGGGCCTCTTAAGTCCTTATCGCCCAATACCTTTTGTTGATGTATTTGTTTATGAACGATGTCGGCAAGTGTTGGTCTGTTCGTCAGCAGTCCTAGCAGTCATCATTCATAAAACAGTCAGAGTTTCGCCTGTGATTTTCATATCTATATTTCAGGCCGTCTCTTACTGAAACCAGGCAAGCTCTAACCTGATTTTAGAATGTCACGTGACCAACAGATATGACGACTTCAAGAAAGGGGTAAAAACAAAAAAAAATTCCAGAACTAATATTCAATAAATCTTGTTTTTTCCCCTCCTTCTTCTTCTAACTAGCAAATAGTCCCGTACATTCTCAAGCACATTAAATCCTCCCGGAATCGGACTGCACTGATGGTGTATCAACACTTATCCAATGGACTGCACTGATGGTGTATCAACACTTATCCCATGGACTGCACTGATGGTGTATCAACACTTATCCCATGGACTGCACTGATGGTGTATCAACACTTATCCCATGGACTGCACTGATGGTGTATCAACACTTATCCCATGGACTGCACTGATGGTGTATCAACACTTATCCCATGTTGTTAAACCATCATCCCCATCTCATATTTTCAACTTGTTGGCCCCACAACCGTCGTGTGATTTTCCATGAAAGTTAGTTCTGCCTCCACACTTTTAATTCACCTTTCAGCCAATAACGGAGGGACATTATAGCTCAAATAGTTAACCTAAATATAAACTCACTATCATGGCTTCTTTTAAAAAAAAGAACCACCATCTTGTCTCTATCTGCGTTAGAGTCGAATCAGATATTCACCAATCTAAAATAATTTGATCATTATTCAATATAAATCTCAATAGTTCTTGGTTATAGTTTTGCAGGCTAAATGGGTTTTAAATTACCTTTAACCAAGTGGCTATTTGCACCCGGGTACAAGAATTGAGAGGTTGGGATTAAAAAACTATTTAAAATATTATTGTTGCGTTTGTAAGACAAAATGAGGTATCAAATGAAAGCTAATTGAATGGACTATATGTTTGTAAACGTAATTCTTTCAGTTTAACTAAAAAAAACTACCACAAATGACATTAGATTAGCATTGGTCCAATGGGACCCGGGTGAGAATGGTGGCCATGCTTTTCCAGGGCCATTTTGACTATACGCTATTGGTTTTGTGGTTTTGATATATGATAAGCAGTATTTGATGATCAGTATGTGATGAGCAGTAATTTATGAGCAGTATTTTATGAGCAGTATGTGATGAGCAGTAATGTATGAGCAGTATGTGATGAGCTTTAATTTATGAGCAGTATGTGATGAGCAGTAATTTATTAGCAGTATTTTATGAGCAGTATGTGATGAGCAGTAATTTATGAGCAGTAATTTATGAGCAGTAATTCATGAGCAATAATTTATGAGCAGTAATTTAACGATCCAATAGACAGCACGCACCTCACCACCTTTAAAGTTGGATAGCTGTCTTGTTTTTAGCCATACATCGGAGACAACAGACAACATGTTTTGGACTATTCATGGGGTATTTCCAGTCTACTCAGATAAGGACCCTAATGCAAATGTTCATTTAAATGAGATGTGAATGACACGAACGATTAAGTTCTGCCACCCTCTTTTTTTACTTAAAAAAAAATTCATCCCTCCATAACAAAACAAAAAAAAAAAGATTAGATAATATGTGATAGCCACAGTACCTTGACACCCTAACTTAAACACAAAAAGGTCATCTTGAACTGGCCAGTTAAGTTAAATTAGGAGAAAACCGTTGGGACGCAACACCTATAGAAAAAGTATAGTGCCTGTAAGAATTTGTTCAATAATTCATTAAATGGAGGAATGTAGAATTTAAAAAAAAAATAAATTCAAATAGCTTTTGGAATCTTTCTTCATTCGGTGTAATGTATTTTCTATTCTTAAAATATTTTGTTCAAAACCATGGATGTGGTTATAAAAAAAAAATATACCTCTAAATAAAGTGCGTGTGTTCAAAATTATGTTAAAAACATAACGAACCAGTACTGTGAGATTTATCAAAATCATGCCATGTACAGTTGGTTAAGCGTTACTGATCACCGGATGAAGGTCTGCGTTCAAGGTGTGTGAAGGAAAAAGTGGAACAAGGTTTGTTAAAGGTTGAAATGAAAGAACATGGCGATAAAAACGGAGAACTTCTCGGCTTAAGACCTTCTTCATTAGGGAAGAGAAAACCAGATACAACAAAGAAGTAATTATGAGTTTAAAAAAGAAAAATAAGTGACAGTAGTCCGCCATTTTTCTACAACATGGTGAACTACGTCATCACCAATGTTCCCTCTAAGGTTTGTTGGTTCGTGTGCAAAATCATAAAGTTGTGTGCACATTTTTACAGCATCAATTTTTTGTGTGCCAAATTGTATAGCCTACAGACACAAACACAGACTTAAGTGGAAATTAGCTGCGCGGTACTCAAAATAGCGTAAAGAGAACATTGGTCATGACATGTGTCATTTCAAAATGACATATTTTATCGCATGCGCAGCATTTCATTTTTTTTTTTTAATTCACATATCTCACGCCCGATGCAATAAAAAAATGTGGCGCTCATTGATTTATTTAATTTACGGGGGCGGAGAAACCTTCAACCGCCTTCGCTCCCCATTTTACCAAAAATTATGCCCCCCCCTCCCAGTGCTATTCGTGTTATACCTGTTTTGGTATTTTTCTTCAATTTATTACATAATACAAAAATTAGATGCTTTCAAACACATACCTGACCGAAAGTTAACTAATTTTTTTGTTAATTTCAAACACTTTGTGATATCTAATATTAAAGCTACTACATATAGCCCGCCAAACATTGTAAACAGCAATGCGTGAACTTCCCATCTGCTAAAGTGACTTAACAAAACATGAGCTCAAGTAATGCACATTTGAGAATTCCAATTTCCAATTTCCAATTTTTGCTACACCTCCCCCCCCCCTTCCCCCACCCAAGATACGTCACTACACACTTGTTACTTTACACCCTAAAACTCTGTTAATATTCTGATGTCCCAACGACTTTTAAACATTTATCAGACCATAACTTCAATTGGGAAGTTGGCATTTTTAGACAAGAAAATTGTACGCATCAAACGCAGTTGCGTTATTTTTTAAATTTATTTTTCAAATAAGTCATTTAGGGCAGTTATCGGTAGTTATCGGTAGTTTTCGGTAGTTATTTCGCCCGCTATCCGGAAATGGAAGCTGTCACACCAAAACAAAATATATGTACGAGATTTTACGCCAACGCAAACATAGCTGGTACTCAAGTAGCTTCATCTTCAAGCAACTGTTTTTTATTCTTTAAAATTGTATTTTTTTTAAAATGTATAATTGACTTCTTCCTGGGGTTATCTCTCTGTCATGTTGAAAACTTTGTGTGTCCACCAGATACGAGTCACCTAATCTCTTAGTGTACGCCACCTGTTTCATTCTTCATAATAAACGGAAGATAGCGCACGGCGAGGTCAGTAACGTTGAAACAGAGCACGGAATTTGGCAATGTTACCCATTCTTTGGTCGAAAAAAAAAACAAAAAAAACAAAAATCTCCATTGTCTCAATCAGGGGTGTAGTTGAACATTGTGCCACAATAAATGGTTTGTCACCCACCATTGAAAAAACACTAAACACACACTATAAAATTTAACCACTGTGGTTGATGGAGGGCAATCGGGGTCATTAGCCCCTCACCAGGTTTTCAGAACAATTGGCATTTAAGTAAAAATAAATAAATAAATATATATATATATATATATATATATATATATATATATATATATACACAGGGCATAGGTAGGGTGAGGCAGAAGGGGACCACTTTTATATAACTATTGAGGGGCGGCATTTTCGACTAACTACAGACTTTTTTTTTTCGTGGAAACCCGTTTAGGAAAAATCTTTGCTCGCCTTTGGCGGCACTAACCAAATGTAGAATCTATTTGTGTTTTAGAGCACGCGCGTGTGTGTAACTAAGCTCGTGGCGGTTCTGTGGAACCTATGAAGCATAAGCGAAATTTTACTTTATGGAGAATCAACTGTTTCCCAGTCATCAGATCCGCGAACTTTACAAATATAATGGACTTAAAGCAACATCCACACAGTTTGGCACCGAACAATATATTCCACGTAAATTTCAACAAACACCGAATAATATATTCCATCTCGCTATCAACAAACACCAAACATATAAATGTACGATTCCATATTGCGAGTCAACCAACACCCGGCAAAGTGCCTTTAAATAGAAACTCATGGTTTGAGACATGTGAGGCTGGAAACCAAAAAATTATAACATTTATTTGTTTCGTATGCCGATATCTTAAGACAGGGCACATTTTAAATACAATTTTAAGTCACATCAAACACATACTCATTTCATTGATTCGGAAACTATAAAACGAAATTTATAATAAAACTGCATAAAAATATAAAAAAAATAAATAAATGTGCAATATATTTATCTTTACAGGAATCAATAACATCAAAAATCATACACAGAATAGGCACACACAAAAAAGAGCGAACACACTTAAAAAAAATTACCCATATTTTGAATTATTAAAATTTCAAGTTCAAAGAAAAAAAAAATCAAAATCAAATAACACAATAAGATAATCTGAATACCACAAAGGCTGAACTTAAAAATTTAGTGAAAATTTAAAAAAAAAAACATTCCATTTTATTTTATCATTTTTCATCTAAAATATAAATATATTAAAATACAGCTGGAAAAGGATTTTTTTTTCCTCTTTCAGGAATCTCAGAGAGGTGATATAAAATATTTTCTTTGTGCCATTGAAAGTGCTCCTTCTTTCTAAGGCAAAGTCTTTGTTTCTATTTGTTGTTGTCTCCAGTTTCATACACCATTGTGTCCTTCACCATGTCCGAGCTCTTTGCCGTCCTTGACATCGTCCCCCTGGAGAATCAGGGTCAAACCATTGTTCCGGTCCACATGGTCGGCGTCCTTGACATCGTTCCCGTGGACAATCAGGGTCAAAGCATCGTTCCGGCCCGCGTGGTCGTCGCCCTTGCCCTCCAAGCACTTGGTGCACCTGGCGTACGCGTAGGCTATGACGAGGAACACCAGGGAGCACGCCATGGCAACGGTTCCGTAGCTGTGAAGCTTGACCCGGAAGAGCTCGTTGTCGTAGAGGAGGCAGCGGCCCCTGGTGTCGCACTGGTAGCTCCAGACG